TGAAAATTAAACTTTCTGCTCTGCAAAGACACTATCAAGAGAATGAGAAGATAAGATACATACTGCGAGAAACTATTTGCAAAAGACATACCTGCAAAAGGATTTTTATCTGACATACACAAAGAACTCTTAATCTCAACAATAAGAAAACAAACAACTTGTTTAAGAAATGGGTCAAAGGCCTTAACAGACACCTCGCCGAAGGAGACAGACAGAGAGTAAGTCAGCGTTTCAAGAGATGCTCCACATCATATGTCATCAGAGGAACACAAATTAAAACAACATTGAGATATCACTATACTCCTATTAAAATGGCCCAAATCCAGAGCAATGGCAACACCAAATGCTAATGAGGTTATGGAGCAGCAAGAAATCTCATTCATTGCCGGTGGGAATACAAAATGGTACAGCCACTTCGGAAGACAATTCGGTGATTTCTTACAAAACGACACATCCTCTTACCGAACGCGCCAGCAACTGTGCTCCTTGGTATTTACGCAAATACAGAACTTAGGTCCGCACAAAGGTCTGCACACAGTTGTTTATTACAGTTCTGTTCATAGTTGCCCAAACTTGGAAGCAACCATGATATCCTTCGATAGGTGAATGGGTAAATATACTAAGGTCCATACTGATGATAGAATATTATTCAGTGCTAAAAAGAAATGAGCTGTCAAGCCATGGAAAGGCATGGTGGAAACTCCGATGCATATTACTAAGTGAAAGAAGCCAGTCTGGAAAAAAACCACATACTATATGATTTCCATTATATGACATATTGGAAAAGACAAAACTATAGAGACAGTCAAAAAGTCTATGGTTACCAGGGGTTGGAGGGAGGGAGGACGAGTAGGTGGAGCCCAGAAGATCTTGAAAGCAGGGACACTCTTCTGTGTGATATTACAATGGTGGATCTATGTCATTCTACATTCGGCCAAACCCATAGAATGCACAGTGAGAAGAGCAAATCCTTACATGAACCGTGGACCTTGAGGGATAATGATGTGTCCACACAGACACATCAACTGCAGGAAATGTATCAGGAAATGGGGATATTGATGGTAGGGGAGGCTATGCATGTGTGTATAGGCTGGGGGGATATTGGAAACCTATGTATCTGCTTCTCAATTTTGCTGCGAATCTAAAGCTGCTCTAAAAAATAAAAATGTTCTGTATCTTGGTATAGTGGTGGTTACACAGGTGTATGTATTTGCTAAAACTCCACTTTAAATGAGTACAGTTTCTTGTACGTAAATTATGCTTGTTAAAGTTGATTCAAAGTGACCTGAAAAGCTATGCCGGCTTGCATCTGCAGAACAAAGTAAAGGATAGCAAAAGAGGCTGAAGAATGAGGACAGTATAGTCGGTGAGAGATACAAGTCAATTGGACTTACATACTCTGCGGAAATGCAGAGTATATATTTAGAGGTAAAATCAGTCAGATTAGGGGACTGACTGAGGGTGAGCCACAGAAGTGTCAAGGGCAACTTCCAGGTGTCCACCCTGAGCAACTGGGCAGAGAAGGGCAGGATGGGTTGTCCTTTCTGGGCTAAGCTGCTGAGGAGGAGAAGCAGGTTTGGCTGGAAAACTTGAGCTTCTGTGGATCTCCATCTCCATGGAGATGTCAATTTCATTTCATCATTCTAAATGCAAAGCGTCTTTTGTTCAGGGGAAACCAAGGCAAGGGATTCATTCACAGTTTATGATACTGGTAGGACCAGACCCACAGAAGGGCTCCAGATTCCACTGGTTGGGCAGCCCCTTTTGCGGGGCAGCAGTCTCCCTCCTCCGAGTCTTTTGTCATGCCGGATAGATGTGCAGGCGGCTGACCTTTCTGAGTCATTCGGCAAATTCCAACAGCTTTCTCATCTGAGACTCGCTGGTCTCCACTGGGCAAGATCTGAAGACCAAGCTTCATTTGGATTTGAGAAAAGGGTAGTGAAATTTGAACACTTAAAAAGCCAGGAAAAAAGAATGCCAAGGCCCAGATACCTACGCTAACAAATAAAAAGCATTATGTGGAGCATCCAGCAAACTTCCCGTCTACAAATACTGCCACCGCCTGAGGGAACAGCAGAGACATTTGACCGGGCAGCAGCTGTGGAGAGGGTGCTATTTAAAGACTCAGCTTTTGCAGCCCAAGGACTCTGGGCTTGGGATTTGATTAGAAGGCGGAGAGGAGACAGCAAAGACTGAGAAAAGAACCAGATATGGGGAAAAACATCACCGGGTGGTTGGCACCTGATGTGAACCCCAAATATGTGAAATGAGTTCATTTTAATAAAATTATGTCTCTCTGTCTCTCTCTGAGTAAATTAAATGTGTTAATTCAGGGAAAGCGCTTGGAGCAGTGTCTGGCACATAGTGCAATACTGGAGGGAAACTCATTATTATCATTATTATCCCTCCATCTACCCACCTACATACATATGCCCAGGGATGGAGAAATGCTCAGCTATAATGATATGTTACTGCTAAGTGCTAGGATTTATAGTGATTCTGTTATAAAATCTCTAGTTTTTTTTTTTTTTTCTGTAATCCTTGAACTCTTTTTATAATGGACACACATATTTTGTAAAACCCTCAAGTCATTATTCTGAGAGGAAAAAGTGAAGACTCTGGAGTCAAATTTCGCAGGTTTAAACCCCACTCCACTTCTTGGGAGCTGTGTCACCCTCTCTGAACCAGTTTTCTCTTTCATAAAAGAGGGTAATAATGTCATCTACCTCTTCAGAGGGTGATGAGAATCCAATGAGATAATCTACGTAGAGCTTGTCAGAGAATAAGGGCGAGGTAAATGATGCCTGGCTGTTACTAGCACTAGAAGTGGGGGCGGGCTGTGCGATTACTTATGGCAGGAACCATGCTCTACTCACCTCAATGTCTTTGGCATGTAATAGTGACTCTAGAAACAACTGGTAGTTTAGTGGGAGCCCCTTAGGCATCAGCCTGGGAACATTCTCTGTCAAGGTACAAGAAAGGGTGAAAAGTTCTCATGTACCTTCCTCCTTTAGGTGAGGGATTGTGTCCTTCTGGCGATTGGGAAGCACAAGTTATTTCTAGAACAATCCTTGAGGCTCTCTAGAGAGAAGTCCTTAGAGGTCCCCATCCCTGTTTTCTTATTCTCCCATGTGATGGCCAGATGGAAGCTGGAGCCACTGTTTCCATGACCCCATGCTGTTCTTCATGAACTATAGGCAAGGCAGTCCCGTGGGAATTTCTAATAATGCAAAACCTCAAGTAAACAGTCATGGAAAATTGCAGCCATTGACCCATGACTGTGTATGAGTGTGTGTTGAGGGATGGCATTCTTTGTTACAGCTAAAATAGTCCTTCAGAAAGGAAGAGTCCTTCCTATATTTTATAAACATACATTCCTTTTAAAATAAGAAATACGAAATTCAGAAATCCTATTCTTGTAACTGTGGTCCCAGGAATTCATGTATGTGGTAGCCACATTTCTTATCTTTTCTCCTAGTCCCTGTAGGATGCAGAACCTTGTTAAACGGAACACGGAGGACAGATCATGGCTGCAGACTTATTCCTCTTGTTTGAGATGTTTGAATCACAAGCCATTCACATTTACATATAGTGCATCGGCAATAATACTGTTTTGCAAAAAAAAAAAAAAATCCACTAATTTGAGAAATATTTTTTGAGCACCTACTATGTGCCATGTACCAGTCTAGGTATTTGTGGCTTGCTTGCCAAATCTGGGAACCCTGTATGTTGGGGGCTCCTATTAAAGGAGACTGCAGAGATGGTGGAAATGAATTAGGGGGGACAACAGCTGTGGTGTGGCTCTAGTGACTACAAAAGTGACTGGATGTCAGCTGTAGTAAATCTGACCCCGAATGTGACAGTGGCATGAGAGTATAATAGTGAAAGTGACTAATTGGGCAGTAACGAGGACAGCTGTGTACCCAGTAGGGGCCTGCTAAATATTGGCTTCACTATGGGGCAGTGAAAGTAGCTGAATGACAATGACGGTGAAAACAACCGAAAGGGTGACAGCTGGGCACAGAGTCCAATTGCTACTACACTGTACAGAACTGCTTGAAGTTTGTGGTCATTGACAGTGGTCGCCTACTGGACAGTGACCGTAAACAATAATGAACCCAATGACAGCAACAATGCAAGTGACAGTTCTGCCCAGCAGATTGAATTTGTGATTAAAAACGGTGATGGAGTGGGAGTCAGTCTGACAATGACAGCTCTCAGAACGACCGAATATTGACATTGTGGATGTAACAGCTGTAACCACAGAGGGAACTCGGCATTGTACTGAGAGCGCTGGATTTGGGCGGCATGACTGGCAATGACAGAAAAATTGGCTGTACGTCAGTTACAGAGTGACAGTGTGAGGTTCAGTGGGCCAGCACTGATGTGACTTAATTTGTCTGATACTGTCTGGATCTCACTTAATCTGTCTGGCTGTATGAGGGTGGCAATAGCATCTCCAGCGAGGACAGCTCACTGTGCAACACAGCGTGTTAAAGAGAAACTGAGCAAAAAAGCTATGATCACCGCCCCCCTCCAACAACACCCTCTACATTCCTGAGGGGATGAGGGACAGGCGGGATCAAGATGTCTTCAAGACACCACGATTGGCTGACATGAACCTGTTAGCCTATCACCGCCGAGCAGTGCCAAACCTGCCCACCAATGAGGATGCGTCTGGGGACGAGGCTCAGGTCACGTCTCTGCCTTGCACGTGAACATGTTTTGGAAAGATGTAGAGAAATCTTCCGTGTCTACTTCTGTGCCATTCTTGAAATAAGATCCTAAGCCTAGAAGTGCCCCAGCAAGAGTCCGTGGAACCCCAAACTTTCAAAAGAGAGAGTGGGGAGGGGAGAGAGTGGCTAAGGGTCATGGGTCAGGGAACGAGCCTTCAACCAGACAGCCCCAGCGTCCTAGCATTGGTGGAGGTCGCGGCGCGACGCAGGCCCCGCCCCTTGAGGCCCGCCCCTGGCACGTGACTGTGGCGCGCGGGGCAGGCCGGGCGGCCCCCTCACCGCTCGTACTCCTTACGCGCCGGCCTCAAAATGGCCGCCTTCTGGCGTCTCTGGCGCTGTTGAATGAAGAAAGCTTTATTGTTCCCTTCGGGCAGGAGTGTTCGTGTCCTCTATGGCGCTGTCAATAAAGAACGGCAGTTTGAATCGGTGCTGAACAGGTAACCATAGAAACGGGGCTGGGACTCAGCGTGGAGACCCCTTTAGCTGCTGAGGCCCGAGAGGCGCCCCAAATTAGGGGCGCGCTGAGACCCTTCGGCGTGCGAACTCCGCGGGGCTCTCTGCCAAGTCCCAAACACCTCCTCTCGCTCGGGACGCGGACCCCCGTGGGTGGCTCCCACCCCGAGCGCGGGCTCGGCTGTAAGTCTGCGGTGGGGAGAAGCCGCGGGGCCCCGTCGGGGCGCACTCGGCTTGGCCCCAGCTTGGCGCGATCTGAGGCCTCTTTCCGTCTGCCACTTGGCGCGATCTGAGGCCTCCTCGCCGCTGCTCCTCGAGAGTCTCCCCCACTCTTCTTCTGCCAGGTGCACCAGGCGTCGGGAAACCCCGGACTTGGGCCAGTCCCTACCCCACCCCGTTTTTGTCTGTCGGGAACAAATAGTGGTTTTTACATTTTTAAATGGCGGGGGTGGGGGGGGGACGGGGAGAAGACTTTCGGGTAATTTGTGAACCGTATATGAAATCAAATACCAGGGTCCACAAGTGAAGTTTTAGTGGAGCACAGCCGTGTTCATTGTTCTGTATCATCTGTGGCTCCTTTCTTGCTGCAAGGGCTGAGCTGAGTCGTTGCGACAGATACGGGCATAACCCACAAAGCCGAAAATGCTTAGGCCTTGCCCTTCGCAGAAGTGTGCCAGCCCCAGCCCTAGAGACAAACAGACTGGTCAGTGTTGTCCAGCGGTTCTTCTGATCACTTCTCACGGAATGGGAAACTCCAGTTAAAACTACCCCGTACACCTAAAGCTCTAGCCTTACTGATCTGTTTGCTATTCAACATGGGGATTGTTTCCCCTATTTTTGTTAACAAAAATACGCCTACAGTAAGTCAGGTGTTTTATTTGTGTTCATGTCCAGAGGGTTTTTTTTTGTTGTTGTTCGTTTGTTAACAACACTTCATAAGTAAGTGCCCATGTTTCCACCTAAGACAGATTCTGAGGTTAAGCTTCCTTAGGGTGCAGTATAGGTCTGGCAAATGGAGCTCACCCCAGCGAGCCCTCTGCTTGGTAACCCACCTCCTATGGCTTCAACTTCTTTCAAGTCTCGACCTGGGGCTCCTTGGTTCTGGCTTGAAATTGGAGCCGAGTCTGTGTTTGGCTTGTGAAGATATAATTAAAACCTCAAAATGAAGTTTTTCTTTATTTAGCGAAATCGTCAAACTTCTGCCATATCCTGCTTTCTTCTAATTTAGATGCCTTTCTTCTCTGGCAGTAGTTCCCAAACCTAGCTATTCATCACTAGTTTAACTAACAAATGATTTCAGAACACCCCATGCCTGCATGCATACTTTCATGAATCATTCAGTATTTATTGAGCACCTGCTATGTACTAGAAATGATTCAAATCCCTGGAAATACAGTGGTGAACAAGATCAATGTGATCTTTAGCCTTTCACAGAATTTAAATTCAGTAGGGTCTTGGACAGATGGTATATAGGTAAGCAAAGGTAATTTCAACTACAGCTGTCATAGCATCATAGTAAAATTAGTAGTAAATATTTATTAGACGTTTTCTGCATGCTAGTGCACTATGTGCTTTATTTACTTGGATTATCATTCAGTCTTCTTGCCAACACTATGACAAAGGTCGTATTAATATTTCCATTTTAAAGATGAGGACACTGAGACTCAGGAGAGATGTCTAGGGTTACATAGCTAATATTCAAGGGAACCTTAGCTGGTCACAGCACCCGGTATTATCCCATGTGTTTATTATCTTTTCTACTGTCTTGAGATGCTCTCAAGGGCAGGACCACCCCTTCCCTGTTTTTGTATCAGCTGCTAGCCAGTGCCCACAGCCTGTAGTCTCCTAAGTATTAAATAAACAAATTCAGGCCATTGGTTGAACAAATATTTGAGTTCCTGCTATGTACCAGATACCACTGTGCTAGGCCTTGTGATTACCAGGAGCGAGATGGACCTAACACCTCATATCTAAGACAAATAGTGGCATCTGTGATGAAGGTAGTCAAACAACGCTAACCTGGGATAACCTGGGAAGCCCCTCTTACCAGGATGGCCCAGCAAGCCGCTAGAGAAAGGTAGTTTAAGCTGAATCTGAATCTCTCTGAGCGACAAGGATCCAGTCCAGCAAGAAGGGAGAGGGGAGACAACTGGGAAGGAAGAACTTTTTAATAGGATCAGAGATGGTGAGGTGGCAAGAATTTGGGGTGTTGGAGGATTGGAAGAAGTGAGTAGTGGTGCTGTGATTCAGTCCCATGCTCTGAGTCTCTGGCTCTGAAGCCAGCTTTACTGCTGGGTGGCCTGCCCATGGGCCAGTTACAGATGAATGCTGAAAGGCAGATGATGGTACCTCCTCAAAGGGTTGTTGTGTGGATTAAATAAGAGAAAATGTAATAACAGGTTGGGTGTTTTCTTTTTGTTGTTGTTACACATGTTGCTCAATTCCAGTTAGAGAAAACAAACCACAATTTGGCCCCAAACGGAAATTTATTTGAAGTGCTAAATAATAACAAAAATCCAGGATTATGTTACCAACAGAACTGAGGGTGTATATGTATGTTTCTGTCTTTGATGGGGTAGGGGGACAGGAACAGATCTTATTTTTTCTTAATGTTTCTGTTGAGAGAGGAACTCTTCCAAGTGGCTTTTAATTTTTTTTTTTTTTGAACCAAATTATATAACAGTCAGTTCAGAGCACTTTTCATTATTTTAGTGTGTTCCTCCACTGAAGGCATGTGCATTTTCTTAAGGCAGTCTAAGAAAATGATAGGTTTCTTCTAGTTGGTGGTCATTTCAAAGTTTGCTCAGAAATGATTTTGGGTTCCCCGCAAAAGTTTTCAAAATAGTGTTGCATACTTTATGCAAGGCATCAGATGCTTTAAAGCAAGTAGCAGACTTTTTGAATTGGTAAAAATCAGAAGGTGTTTGGGTTCATGAATGTGCAAATTGCAGAGGCAGTGAGAAATCCAGCGAACTGTATAAGAAGATCAGCAATGTCAAGTTTTGCTTTAAACTGTGATGTAATCCGGTCCAGCAAATGGAGCAAAGAACTGGACAGGAGAGTGGCATGTTAATGCGATGTTAACAAAAAGCCCTGCATGAAATTGCTATTTTAGGTTTGGGCGGGACCTTCACATTTCAAGTATTCCACTTTTACTCTGTGATTTGGGTCTGGTGGGTTCCAGTAAAGAGAACGTGCTAACACTAGTTTTGAAGGATAATATAAAGCTGCAGGAGGAGCGAGGGCATACGAATTGGTTTTTCAATCTATTTTATTTCAGTTCAAAGCATCATTGCAGACAGGCTCTGCAGGAAAACGAGCCACACTTTGGCAACACTCAGCTGCTTTTGGAGATTGAAGGAGACTGAGTAGAACCAAAGTGTGGCTTGTTTTCTTGGGCTCTCTGTCTGCAAAGAAGCTTTGAACTGAAATAAAATAGATTGAAAAACAAATTGGTATGCCCTGTTGCCTTATACTGGGTGTTTACGATCCCCTTCTGGAGTACTTTGTGTACTAGCACCCGGAGGAAGGCAGTGACCCCTCAGCTGCTTTCAACTCTTCAGGAGAGTGAGTTCTTTGATTTTCACAAGGAAATTGAATTGGAATTTATGGTTTTCCGGATCTCCAATGGGCTGCCTTCTAAAGCCATCATCCCGATAATGCGAAGAAAGCAAGCTGTAACCATGTAGAGGAAAAGAATTAAATATTAAGGGCACTTAAATTCAGAGATGAGATTGTCACTGTCTTCAAGCCATGGAGGGGGTGCGGTGTGTCATTTGCCGAGACCGTTGCAGTTTTGAGGCTTCTGCAGGCCTCAGCGGAAAGAAGGGTAAGGAAAGAGCGCTGGCTTTCCTTATACTTCCCCAGTGGTGGTGTTTAACCCCAAATCCTCAAACTCATGACACCCAAGTATTTCATTACCTTTAATGAAGTAAATACATTATAGCTGATCCTGGCTTGTTAATCTGGGGTAAGCGGTTGAGTTTCAGGGGACCCACAAATCCTTTAAATTTGTCTGGGTGTCATTTTTTCTGGGGAGTGAGCCCATTTCTCTAATCAGGTCTCTGAGGGATCCTTGAACTTCAAGGTGCAGAGCTGACAATGAAATGTCACATGTGATACCACTGGCCCAAAATAGTGTTGATCAACCCCCTGAAACCAGTTACTTCTTACCGCTGCATGGTCTTGACTGTAATTTTGAAAGTATCTTTTTGGGTCTTGTTTCCTATCAAAAGTGGCCAAGTATGTGAGTGAGCATGTCTGGTAGAGGTGATTTACCCAACGAGGTACTTTGGAAATGCCTCAGAGGTCATTGTCATGATTTTACAGGAGGCTGCCACACTGGCGATGCATTGCCTTGGCAACCTTGGTGGCAGTTGCCGTATTAGTCTCTTCTGACAGGCAAAAGGAAGAGTTGTTAGTAGCCTAAGACGTTGGCTCTAGGCATCAGCTTCTTGCAGATGGACTCGGTTCCTCAGGACTGTAGGAAAGTAGGGTTAGGAGGGAGAGAGGAGGAGAGGGATGGATTGAGGGAGGCAGGACTAGAGGAGTGATGGAGGGGAGATGCTCTCCCTCCTTTGTCCTGGCATCCCTATGTTGTCTGCGAAGGGAAACGGCTCTTTCTGAAACCAAACTTACCTCACTTACCTAAAGAAAAAAAAAAAAATGTCAACTCGAAGATACAGTTTCTGGTTTATTAGTACTCAAATGGAAAGAAAAGAATTATCTTCAGGTGTTTATCTTGGAATGTTTGCAAACATGGGACCTCAGTAGAAAACTGCTGTGGGCCACGGTTGTTTGGCCCGTACGGTGTTTATCAGTGAGTGCTTACATTTACAGAGAGAGATTTTTACATCTTATCTGACCCCTGGGTGTATTGGCATGAGTGACTTCTGCTTTTAGAAGAGTCTCATTTCGGGGCTCTCAATGTTTGATGAAGTAAATTCTTAAGAAGGAAAGGGCCCAAGAAGGATGAGGACAATTA